CAAATAAATTTCGTTGGGCGTGCGTTCTATTCTCTTGCGAAAGCATAGCATGGGAGGACGTCCCCCCCTCCCCAATGATATTCCAAAATTTCATCCCTTTTTTTCAAAGGTTATTTCTTTTCTAAACACCAAAAAGCTATTTATTAGTTTAAAAGCTTCAAAAAATTTAAAAATTCTATAATTTTAAAAAATTTTATGATTATCACTTTTAAGTAAGTATGTATCTAAATATGACATGAAATAGCCAGACCGGACTAAAATTTTCACACGCCATGTAAAATTTAAAAAATTTTAACAGATGTAGTAAGAATAATTTTTTTAGATACCAAAACCACACAATTATTCAGATACTGAAAAAAATGAATCATATTTGTTGCCAAATGATAATAAGAAAAACATAAGAGATTTATTAATAAATTTTGCTTTTCAGCCCCTAAAATCTCATTTGTCAAATATAGCCCTGCTATTGAGGGAGGATTCACTTTTAGAGACTCATCAAGTGTCTCTGACTTCAAAACGGTAAAAGCAAACTCTCATTTCCGGAGAAAATATGGTAGTTTGGTACATAAAATGCGGAATTTACTCACCGTTTCTAAATATTCAGTCGCCAACGTCAAGCTGACAAGTGGAAATTTCGGAACTGTATATTTCATTTTATAACCGTCTTTGAACAGCCGACCGAATTTTTTGGGTTTACGTCTTCTTATGTTCAACTATTTGACCTTGTAATTTTGAACCCATTGCAGAAGACAAGGGTCAAGTATTGGGAGAAATTTGCCTTTTTGTTGGAACTAACCCGCATTTGCGTCACATGGAGAGGAAAACCACGAGAACCTCCCATGGTTAGCCTGACGGTAAAGGGAATCTAATCCATGATCCGTCTACCACTGAGGATATTTTACATCAGCACTGTGGTTGGTGCAAGCCGGATGCGGAATTCGTATCTACCAGCCATTACTGGATTCGAACCCGGTTCCCCTAATTGGAAGGCGAACCCTCTAACTCCTAAACCCCCACGGCTCAGAACAAAGAACTTTGTGTAAAGTAGACGCCATCATTTTTTATTTTATTTAGTAACACTAAAATTTACAATTATAGTCCATAAGGTCAGAAAAGTTAACTTTACACGATATAATATAAAGTAAGAATCATATTTATAGGCGAACGCTCTATACCTGGAGTCATTTTAAATCTTTAAACAGAAATATCTTAGTATTGGTTAATTGATATTTTGTAATTTAGTTTTAGACGGAAGTGTTTTGAACGAGAAAACTCCTTTTACCTTGTGTAATACTGTGTGAAATCTTGTCAAACCTGTTCTAAATATTTTTAATTATTAAATTTGAATGATGCAAAAAATCAGCAAATTTGTTAACATAACACGGANAAAAAAAAAAAAAAAAAAAAAAAAAAAAAAAAAAAAAAAAAAAAAAAAAAGAAAGAAACACTTTATCATTTTGAGATTTATCTGTATGTTAAAGCGAATTCATCATAATATATATTTGAATGTTTTATTACAACAAAATATTTTAGGTACATCAAAAAAAAAAATTACATTTAAAAGTAACACATTACTTTAATCTACACTTAGTTTTTATTTTCCCTACTTTGAACATAAGGTAATAATTTACATGGATGTCATTATGTCTCTAGATTAAACCTTCAATATTAAGAGAATTCAATTTTTTTTTAAAAATCACACATAACATATAATAAACATACTCTCATGGGTATATTTATAATTTATTACATGTGATTTATTAATAATAAAATATAAATAACAATAAATTATAAACATACTCTTACAAGTATATTGTAAAATTATAAATAAATTTTCTTGGGGGGACTTAAATCAAAAAAAATTTTTTTTTTTAAAAATCAAGTTATTTAAATCACGCCAACTCTGGCTAAGTCACTGAAATAATATTTCTAAAATTATTTGGAACCACGGTTTATTTTGTTTATAATTATGCTTTTGAAAGATGATTCTACAAAAATAAATAATTCAAAATCCACAGTAATTGAAATAAGAAAAAGTCATGCACAAAAAATCAAAACTAAAGGACAAAAGATATTTATTCACTTTAGGAAACTGTAAAAACTTGTTTGCGGTAAATTTTGATTATCATGAGTTAGTCACAAGCAACAGAATCATGCCAAATGATATTGAATAAAGTAATTTTGAAGGAAACTTCTTTATTTTGAAGGTATGAACTTCTAAATAGGTGGTGCCACTTAATATGATAATGAGGAAGTGTAAGAAATAATAAATGAAAAATTGGAATTGTTTACATTTTTCTGAATTGCGTAAGTTTTGAGCATGATTTTGTAGTGCTAATCAATAAAGATTTATTGATTAACTACTTTATCTCCCCTAAGAGGAGCAGGTATTCAGCCAGCGTGAAATATGAGACACATTTCTAACCTTGAAATGAGTTAGTATTAGAATAGCTTTGAACTTTAACCTTTGATGCAGATAGGGCATTATTTTATATATATGCTCTTATTAAAGGAAAAAAGTATTTTCATATTTTTAATTATAAAAAATCGTCTTATAGTTACTAAAAAAATCTGTTAGATTACTGAAATTATATTTGTGATTAAAACATAAAATTTAAACAAAAAGTAATAATTTTTTTTTCATTAATATTAAAAAAATTATCAATAATTGATTTTGTAAATTAAGGAAATTTCTATGACGAGTAATTGTTTTTCTTAATTCGAAATAACTGCTAATTTGAAAAATTATTGTTTCGAAGGAAGCCGTGTTTGGAAGATTTTTCACTTAATGCAGAAAAAGACACTGGTGCTTTAATGCTGTATTTTAATACTATTAATTATTTAAATATTCAATATATATAAATTATTAAACTTAACTGAAAATTAGAAAACAATGCAGAAAAGGCACTATTTATGGAAATTCTTGCTCATTACTTCACGGTCTCCCTCATAACCTTTATTTAAGGGGGGGGGGAAACAATAGAAAAATTATTTTCCAGAAATAGTTCTGCAAAATATGATTGTGAAGTTATCCTGCAGGTTTATATTCTCTTAGGGTTGCCACTCAAATCTGGAAAGAAAAAAAATTCCCTGTGTTTTCCCTGTACATATTATACACAATATATTAAGAGGAAGCGACAATTACTGTGCTCTTGTGTGAGCTATATTGGGCTAACTATATTTGTTAGCCTTAATTGCTGGAAAAATAGCTGAACATACTTAAATAATGTTATGGTAAATGAAATGGCTTAGAATAGCTGAAATATCATGGTTAAATATCCCATAGATTAAGCTTTGAGTAGTCACTATTTTTTTAAAAGACAAAAATAAGAAACAAAATTGCCTGTATTTTCCCAGTTTGTAAAGAAAAAAAAATCAAAATTCCCTGAATTTTCCCTGTTATTTTAGGTGATTTTTAAATTCCCTGTATTTTCCACGTTTTCCCTGTGGAGTGGCAACCCTGCTCAGTGATTCTGAGACAATTTATCACTTTACAAATGTCTCATAATCCTGATCATATATGTAATGCGATTTTTTCAGGAACAGTTTTAAAATATAAAAGACTGCTAAAGTGATGATTGTTTAGTAAAAAGAAATAAGCTCTTAGTAAATTTTATTCAGTAAAAATTTGGCTGCTAATTTCAGAACATATAGGGATTTTTATTTTTTAACAAGTGCAATTTTATTACTATTTATTTTTTGGCGAAAATGTTTAAATACAACTTCTCTGAGTGCATACCAAAAGCATTGACATCTCAACAATTTAGTGAGTTAAAACAGAATTTTGTAATTTACCAGCGCTGTATCTAACCAAAATGGCATATAAAACCTGACGTAAACAAAACTGAATATCTGTATTTACTTTTAAAATATTTTAACTCAATAGTTACCTAAAGTTTTGTTCATCACTTCTTATAGCTCAATAATTATAAACCTGTACACTATAACGACTCTAGCTTAAAAAATTTGTCAAATAAGAAGAGTTTGAAGATAATTTAATACAACGGTCACTGTATTATGCATCAGATGCAGGGTGTCCAAAAAGTATGGAAACAATAAAATATCTTCAGAAATATCTATAAGATGCACAAGTGGAATATTTTCAAAAAATGCATTAAATGATAGCGAATTTAACCCCAGCCTCATCTTTCAGGTGGTGGGCAACTTCAGAATCTTAAAGGAGAAACTTTTTCATTTATTTTATTACAGATTTGGATTTTCCAATTTTTACTCACAGGTTGTTACATTTTGTCTTCCAGATGAAAATTGCAGAATGAAAAAATTGAGCAGTATCATAGTATCAGTATTGAAAAGAAAATGTCAGATCGAAAAAATAAAAATGGCCTGTTCAATACTTTCAAAACGCCATTAAACTTGATAGTTAAGACGTGAGAGACGCCTTAACGCTACGTTGTGAATTATTGAGATTACTATCAGTGATAGCCTTGTTTAAAAATATTTCTCACATCAAATTTCAGATTTTTCCTGGCTGCTTTTAACATAACAGATCATTTTTAGACACCCTGTATGCATTATCTGTATAGTATAATACGATTTCAGGATCATTTCCATGCATAGCTACAGTGAATTTTATGTTTATAACGATTAAAATTGATATGAAATTTAATTCTATAAAATCTAGAAAAATATTTCATTTTACTTTAAGTCCAGTTGCAAATCCTGCTTCCAGCACTAATGGAGAAAAAAAATAGTTTCATAAATCAACAAGTTTTTTTCAGCTTCAATATGAATAAGCTCTCAATTCAATTTTTATTAGCATAATATATTGCTTTTTTCTTTTATAAAAAAAAAGTAACTCCTAGTAAATATGTTTTGTAAAACTCTTAATCATTTTATCAAAATAGCATTTAACAGGATTTGCAGCTGGGTTACCATACACATACATAATTGAAACTCAGTATAAAATAAAATATAAAATTTGCATGCTTAACACGTGAGAGAGAAAAATTACAATAAAATTCTAAAGAAAAACCCCTAAATCACATTAAAAAAAATTATCATAGCAACAATTTATTCATAAATCGAAAAAATGAAGCAGGTGCAAAAATGATCAAGCTCCAGGAGTCACAAATTTCAAAGCCTAAAATTTATGTACAAAAATTGTGTTAAAGAAATTGAAACAAATATTTTATTAGTTTGATGGTAGGAAGAAATACAAATTACATTGTTATGCACAACCTTTTCTTTCTCCGAAAATCAATGATTTATTAATTATTACTTGTGTTAAAAAAATTATCATATTCTTAGTATTTGGACACATTACAGTAGAGCGCCGATTATCCGAACTGCTCGGGACCGAACGTGGTTCGGATAATGAAAAGTTCGGATAATTGGAAAGTTGTTTAAAATCTAGTTTAAATGATTATTATTTATGCACTAACTTCCCTTGTCACTTTTTCTAGGCTTAGGACTGGTAGTACTATTTAAAATAGCTCTGGCATGTTTAAAATTTTTTTTTCAATTTTTACATATTTTTTCATTTATTTTTTAAACTTTTTTTTTCATTTTGAATTATATTCATCATATTTCAGCTTTTTATAATTTTTTTTATAAATTACTGATTTTACCACATTTTTCTTAATGTTCCATTGCAAAAGAAATCCAGCAAAGACTTTTGTTTCAAAGAAGATGCTCTTTTTTGAGCAGCCATATATCCCTTATTCTTTTTAAATAAATCAACTGAACTGGATCAACATCATTTTGACGTTTTAACTTGAATTTGATCACCTACTTCTTTCTCTTCGTTTGTGGAGTTCCGATTTTCATTCGAAATTTCAGCAACAACTTAAAATTTGAAATCCTGGGTCATTTTCAGTGTATCGACACCAGTGTTCTATTTCTTCTGCTGTATAACCTGGCATCTTTTCATCGGGAAGATCTACTAGTTCTAAAACTTCAGTTTCGTTTATTTTTTTGTTAAGACTTTTATTCCAAGATTTCAGATTCCAAGCAGTGTAATCATTAACCATAAGTGACAAGTACCCATCCCCCAATAGTAGAACTTCAGCATATTCATAAACTCCTTCCTAATTTCAACCATTGTAGACTGTCAAATTGAAGCTCGCATTCTTGGAAGATAATTTTCAGTTGAAGAGGGCTAAAGGGGTATGTAGGTTTAACTGTATAACAATACATGTATGTATTGGCTACTATAAGAAAACTGCTAAAAAAGGTTGTAAATTAAATATGGTCTTCAGATGCAGTGGATATTCTTTATTCTTCTAAATTTAGAAAAATTGTCGATAAGTAAAAAAGTATTGTAAACTTTAAAAAAAAAAAACTAATTCGGACATGGTTCGGATAATTGGACGTTCGGATAATAAGGGTTGCGGATAATCGGCGCTCTACTGTATTTCAATACATAATTTATGGTTTCCTTAAAATGAAAATAAGGCATAAAAAATTTTAAAACAGAATGCAAAATTACCAGAAAAATTGACAGATGCTAAGAATTATTATTAGAAAAATATATTACATACTCTCTCTATTTATCCATATTAGTTAATTTACAAATTTACAGGCGAAAATTTATTTTAATTGAATTGTGCTTCTTGGAAAAGTAATCCAGCCTTGACATAAACCACTTAATAAGGATAAGTTTTGTATTGTTTCAGCTAAAATGGTATAATTCTTAACACAATTGAGTTAAAGCAACAACCTGACGTCATGAATTAAGATCTATTTTACGGAGTTTAACATGATTTTATATTTACATTTAAACTTTTTTTTCTGACTTAAAGTACACTGACAATTTTTGGTATCGAGTGGATGAATGATGGTATTGTGCGTAAAATGTAAATAATCTAGCTTCTTATGAAAAATTTATCACTTCTAGACTAGACATTCTAGTGGAATATTTAAAAAATACTTCAACTATTTTTTTATCTTTGCAATAACTGTCTTAAAGTGATAATTATTGGAGGCCAAAAATATTTCAATTCATAATGAGGGATTCAGCAAAAATCTAAACATTCTTGATAACTATTTAATAATTAACAAATAGTATTTAGAAAGATGCGTGGGATATTTAATGATTACTTAAATGATAAATTAATTTTTATTCAATATTTAAGGAGTAGTCGGGCACTTTAAAATTTAAAAACAAAAATTTTGAAATCTAGAAATCTTAATATGTTTGAATAAAAATATTATTCAAAATGATTAAGAGGATAAAAAAATTTAAACAACAAATTAATGTTGCTCAATTTTCTTACATTCAAACATAAATATATATATAAAAATTAATACTTCAAACTATTCCACTTACATACTTAACAAAAAAAAAAGAAATTTTTAAAATTAATAATTACAAACTTCATTTTAAAATCACAAACTCATACCTTTTGTAGAGCATGAATCCAGGCAACTGATTGTTTTCGATTCGGCACATCGGTTAAGCATATTCGTAGTTCTTTTTCCACTTTCATAAAATCAAAAAACCTAATAACAGCGCCGACAATATTTGATAAACCTGAACGAGAAACATAAATTACAAAATCATTTGCATAATGAAATTAAATCTTGGAAATATTAATAATATTTACCTGAATTTCCTGCTGTTCCCAGAACTCGAACAGATACAATATCCGTAAGATACACTGGGTTATGTTGCCACAAGTTTCCTCCATCAAGCATCAATGCCCTAAGATGGAAGGTGCGATGGTAATAAAGAAGAGTAAAAAATTTTATTTAAAAAGTCATATTAATGTATAGTCAAATTTAGATATCTCAAAATTTATCACCATGTAAAAATTCTTAATCTTTGTCAAACAATTGTGCAAAGATCACAATTTTTTGCACACAATTGAGTAAAAATTAACATAAAAAGTAAAATTAACATTATGGGAACAAAACCTTCTTCAGATATAGAGATATACAAAAAGTAAAAGTAACATTGAAGGGTCCAGGCTTTGGACCACCCTCCTGACCAATTATTGACAAAGTATAGGGGTCAGCCCAGAGTGGGATTAACCCCTATACTTTGTTGATCAGAAATCCAAATCCATCAAAGAAAATGCATGCTTATACAAAGAAAGTACGTTTTTGTGCTTAATTTTGTAACTTAAAATATTGTCTTTGCACCAATTAATTAGCATATTTGAGGTCACCATCTCCATAGAGATTTAGTCATAGAACGTGAAGATTCGGTCGTTAGATCAAAAGTTATTCAAGGTGGTTCCGTTTTTTTTTTTTATTCGTTAAATGGACAAGGACAAAAATAAATCTGAACATAAAACAAATTAGTCATGTTTTCCTGCATCCCTTTTAACATGTATTTTAATTTTATATTTCATAACCGTCGTTAAACAGCCGGCCCGATTTTGTGTTCATTACTACCTTGTAATTTTGAACCAATCCAGAAGACAAGGAAACTCCTAGATCAGTACCCCCAAAGGTATGATTTGTAGTAGGAACATGGGGGATTTTGAGACTTGTCTGATTTAATGTGCATCAGTTACCATTTACTACTTACCATTCACCCAGTGCCCTACCAACCAGGCTATCTGGCCCTCCTTTTCCCATAAAGGAAGGAAATTAATTTAATTTCATTATAATGCTTTAGAAAAATTCATTATAATGCATTTTTAACAAGGGATTGATGAAAATTGAGAATCATATGTTTATTTATGGTTTTGTGTCTACTTGTTCTTATTTTATCCTTCACACCTGTTCGCCAACATTTCTCACCATGTATGTTTGAATTTCATGTTAGATAGGATACATAGTTATAAACAGTACAACACCTTGAACAGCAATTTGGTTTTTACATAATAGTAGAAACAATTAGTGAAACAAACATTAATATTGATAAATGAACATTACTGGTGATCCTTTGATAAACAGCACTGAATTGGAATAAGAGTTCCAGAGCCAGTCTCTTCATCTAAGTTAAAATGTGAACCTGGAAAAGAATACTGAGTATTTATATATTTACATCTAATTCATGATAATCCTTGTTTTTATGACCCATTTTTCATCTTAAATAATATTTCATGTTAGATATCGACACCCCTTTAAACTCTACTTTATTTTTTTAAGTAATGCATGAAAAAAAATTCTGGAGGGGCACAAGTTTTATGTTTTCACTACTTTTTAATATTTCTATGCATCTATAGCATCCATATTAGTATTCTACATAAATTTATCCTCCTCCAATTTAACAAGAATCAACAATAAAAAACTAATAGTGAATTTATAAGTATTAGAAGAGCAAGCACAAGATTATTTGAGAAATTTAGATTTTTTTTTTTTGAGATATAAGATATTTTTTCTCTTAGTAACAATTAATTTTTAATAAATTCGTGAATTTTTATCGTTTTAATTGTCTCTTAAATTGATGTCCCTCATTTTCAAATGGTCTTTGTAGTGATTAGATCTTGCCTGTTGATGCATTAAATAAGCCAATGAGAAATATACTTTAAAAAAACTTACCACTTAATAAAACTTTCAAATGCTTATCATAAAATTCGTTTTCTTTTTTTGTCACTTCAATACACTGATCACATATTCTGACAGGATCTACAAAACACATTCTTTGAAGGGGAAGCTTAGTTTCACAGCAGTTCTTGCAGTAAACATTTCCACAACGCCTACAATGGTGCTAAAAATATAATACCTTCTTTCATTTTTATAGGATTTCAGTTTACAGCTACTTATCTAGTCATGAAAATTATTTTAATTCCTTATTTATTTATTTAATGTTCCATAACTGTTCCGTTTATCCGCCGCTGCACTTACCAATTTTTTTTTTTTTTTTAAAAAGTGCAAAAAATCAACATATATTTTTATTTTATTAATAAATATTAGGAACTAAAACAAAACATAATACACAAGTACTAAGTTGAAATTTTAATTTCTTTATGAGTAAAAAAATATTTAATTTATCATCAGTTTATTATCCTTAATTATCTCGAGCAAAAACGAAAAAAGTTGAATATTAGTCTTTTGTATAGGTTCACATCTTTATAATCTGAAAAAACATCTGCATTACTTTCACTTTTGCTCGCAAACGCCATTTTTTTTTTAACTCTTTTTTACTATGTAAAATCATCAACCATCGTATATACAATTGTACAAAACATGTCTGCAGTCCTGCAAATAGCAAAACTTCCAAATAAATATTGGCAAACTTCCAATCACAGCAGATTATTATTATTATTTGTGTTGCTTCGGGCTGAATAAAAACGTGATAAAACAAAATGTATTGATGAATTCTGCTATGCCCGAGTTTACTCGGGATAATAAATATTTGCAATATATACATACCCGAGTTAACTTTGGATAACCAGGGAGGCGGCTAAGGATAAAGCATTCCCAATGATAATTGGGGGAGGGGGACATTTGAAAATAAGAATTTTATTAAATTTTTTATATCTCAAAAAACCATTGTTTTCTCTTTTTAAAATATTATACAGTACAGAACCCATTATCCGGAAATCAGAAAACCGGAATACCAAAAAACCGGAAAAAAAAAAAAAAAAAAATTTCCTCATAAGATTTTACGATTTTTCTTTCATTTTTAAAAGATGTTTACCTTACCATCATTTTGGAAATAATCATTAGTGTATTACTTCATCTTTTTTTCTTCTGTTTTAGATTATTTCCAAATATTTTTTATTTAGTTGGGTTTAACAATAAAAAAAAAAAACGGTTTTTCGTAGCGATTCAGAAAACCGGAAAAATCAGTTATCCGGAATAGCGATGGTCCCGACTGTTCCGGATAATCGGTTTCCTACTGTATCTTAAAAGAAAAACCCTGTTTCTATATTTCATATGATGTGTCATAGGAAAATTTCAAACCATTATCATAAAATGCATAATAATCATAAAATTATGTTCTTCTGTGTAATAGCTCTTCCATTTTATTCAATTAATGACTCTCAATCTTCTTTTTTTTAAATTTAAGAATACCCCAGCTTTTTTTTCCTTCCTGTTTCTTTTCGTTCTTGTTTTCAAAGTAAATCTTTAAAAACTCTTTTTAAATAAAAAAAATATCAACTATTGTTATTTTTATAACATAATCATGATTTAGGGTTTGGGTACAATAGACCTGAGGTCGATGTGCAATGCTCTTTGGAACTGCCCAAACTATAAGTCTATCTTTATAAGGTTATCATTTGTTACGTTTATTATGTAGGCCTCCATTTTCTGATTTTCAGTAATTTTTTTTTGTTCAAATTCCATAACTAGAAGAAAAATTCTTCATTTGTTTTGTATAAAATACTTAATTGGTGTTTAAGTGTTTGGTAATTTGGTTCCTTGATAATTTGATATTTTGCACTAAATTTTGGAATTTTTCTATTTCCCATTTTTTTTTCTATGCAAGGATGAAAATTACGAAACTGATCCTTTTTTGTTTATAAAAAGCTATAAAAAAAACAGAATAAAATTTTGGATGCTGAGAAAAAGATGATGACTAAAAAATTCTTTTTATGCATTTATTTCAAACTTTAGAAAACTGTAATATAATTGTAGTAGATCTACATGCCATTCTTGACAAAATTGTTATCTCACGAGGTTCAAAAATTTTAAATTTCATATAGAGTGTTCAAGGGAAGTAATTGGGTGAAATTAGAATATTACATTTGCTTTCTTTCCTTCCTTTTTATTGCCAAGAATTTCATGAATATGTGAAAACAAGCAAATTGACTGAACTGCAGTTCTTTTTTTCTTTTTTCAAAAATTAGCTTTCAGGTACCTAAAATTCTCTCAAAACGCAAATTATCTTTCTCCGAGCCAAAAAATCACCTTATCAAACCTCTTGAATACCTTAACAACTGAGAAATATGCAAAGTTCCATGCTAATGTGGACTGTCATACGTGGAACGAATTAAGCAAACACTCAAACATAGACCAAAAGCAATGTATGAACTCCACCATTCATACATTGCAAAAGGTTGCTGAACAGGTAACCATAAGTTTGATTTTTCTTTACCTCATATTAGTATTCAGACATATCATTTTATGTGTTGACCTGGCATTTTGGGAGAGTTTCTACGTCATCAAAAACAAAAACTCTATAATTAATATCTATATGTCTAACATTTGGTAATCATTAATTTTGTAATCTTTTTTCCTATTATATTTCAACTGAATATTTATATCTTTTAGTATGATGTTGGAATAAATCATCTCTGTTTTTATGATTCCTCTCTTTGATCTTACAGTGCCATTGTGACAGCGAAACACGTTTTTAATAAATGTCTACCATTTGGGATTTTAAATGCCGCTTTCAAGGAAATTTAATTTCACCACAAAAAATTACTATCATAATTAAAACCATATAATTTTATAGTATTGAACTTATGAAACAGTTTTAAAATTGTTAAGTACTCTTTCATTGACCATTAAAGATTTCAAATTTTTTTTTTAATGGTATTAGTGTTGTCAAATGATACACTATCATAAAAAGCTTGTTATCAACAACAACAAAAACATCGAGAAAACAAAATTAATTTTTTTAAAATAAAACTCAAGAAAAATAGAGAACTTTATAAAACCGAGGGAAGAACTATATATATTTTTTTATAAAACCCGAAAAAGGAAGAAAGAGCGCTCAAAAAAGCCCGCATTGGAATTTTATTTGGGCGTCCTAGAATCTAAAGGAAATCTTAGTTTTCATTAACTTAATAAACATTAACATTTCCGATTAAATCTTTAAGTTAAATAACTTATATAGATTCGGGATAGTAATTAACTGAGTAAAACTAAAGTAGCTCAAACTTAACTTACAAAAAAATAAATAAATAAAAACTTCGAATTTCTGAGCAAACATTAAAAAAATTTAGCATCATAAGGTAAGAACTTGCTACTTTTAATCATATCTGTAATTGGATAGCTTCTGAATTTGTCTGAAAAGTATCACAAGTGCATAGAGTTTTAACTTTAGGTAAAAAAATAAATGAAGAAATATTTAAAAGATGAAAATAAAATAAAATGGTTGTGTGTGGACGCTATGTATAATTTAGTAAATTTGTAACACAAATTTTTAGCAGTTGGTTGCTACAATATCACACAAAATATAACATAATGCAGGAAATAAAGAAAAATTACAAAACATATCTTACTCTACGGTTTAAGAAATCAAATTTGACATGACACTTTCCACATGATGGTGACTAAAAAGATACAAAATAATATATTAAAGAAGTAAATTACAGATGCAGTGTACAGGTATAATATTCACTAAAAGAGGATATCTAGAATTTTCATATAAAGTAAATTTCATAAACTCCTAGTTAAAGTAAGTTTCCATACAGATGAAACACAATAATCACCTTCAAAAACATTGTTAGGGTTTTCACAGCATGAAAATTTAATTTTTACATTTGAAGTGAAGCTTCAAATGTAAAACTCAACTCAATCGAAGTTGAATAGGTGTACCCATTAAGGGTACACCAATGTAATAAAAGATCTTTCTAAAAATAATTACTAAGTTCTTATAGGAATCAATGAAGTAAGGGAATAGGAAACACCTAGTTTATGTCGAAATTCAGTTACATATTGTTTTATTTTAAAAAGTTAGATTGATAGGTCATGATTTCGATTAGTAGCATGGTTTCGACTAGTAGCTAAAAATATTAGTAACAAAACCAACGGTAATACTAGTATTTTTTTAAAAGTGGTGTTACATTTTCTAATACAAAAAAATGACACAAAATGGTTACTGAGTGATTAAATGTTAGATATTTATGCTAATATCAAAAGCTCTGATAACACTATTTTAAGCTATTTTCATGCCACAAGATATGTATAAAATATTTACAAATGAAAGAGATGCCAAGTATAAATTTTAGTTCTAATATTTTTAAATAAAATATACAAGAATTTTTATATATAAATGTGATTGATGATTTGTTGAAACTTCTGGACTTTAAATTTCGGGAAACTTTCGGTTTCCAGAGCACAATTCCCCCTGAATTTGGCACATCTGACATAATACAAAATTTTAAAACTACTTCAGGTATAAAATTTCTGTTTTATCGCTGAGATAAGCTAGCATAAAATAACTATCATAGTACAAGAGGAAAAAAAGAATATTTCTTATAATTTATTGAAGCATTATCCCTTTATTTCTTTATCATTATATGTATTACGCAATATATGTATGATCATAATCAATTTAGATATATTTTTCTTACGTGGCACCACAAACACGGTATCTCTAAACTCGATATTGGCTATTATGTTAGGTTGTCTTAAGTAATAATACCCAACTAATGTAAAGTTCTATATAAAATCATTGAGTTAATTGTTATTATTATTAATAAACTTCTGCTGGCAATCTTATTACAAAAATATTTTAGATTATTCTTAAAAGATTCCTGTACGTGTAGGTTCATTTGAATTCCCTACTCGCTTTATGGATAGATGTTTTGTTCTGTATTTTATTTTCTTTACTCAATTTTTTTACAGAATAATCTGTTTTTTCCTGTAAGAGCTGGGCTTAAATTAACAGTTATTTGACGATTTTTACCTCGATCGAAAGCACCTTATTCGGTAAAAAAGTTATGTACAGCGCACAATGAAAAAATCAATGTACATTAGGAGATAAAAAAGAAATAAAGCATTGAAGAAAGTGAACATGATCTGAACTACATAACTATATATTGATACACTGAAATTGTAAAAAGATTATTACTTCTGAGTCAGGAACCCAAAAAGGTTCTCCAATTTCGAACGGACTAGATCGCTCATTTTCAATACTAACAACACGTAAACCACTTCGACTTCTAACAAGTCTTTTACGATTATCCAGACTTTGGTAAGACATTTTATTTCACCATATGCTAGCAAATAAAATAATAAAAAAAACTTAACAAAAATTACTGAAACGTCAAAACATACACACAGAAATCAACAAAAACACACCCACTGCTCAGATTTGTAAATAAACATAGGAAATAGCGGTTTCGATTAAAACATACAGGATGTGGAAAAATCATTTTGACAGAAAGTTAGGTTAAAGCGTATATAGGTTGTATTTGCTAGAATTGTGAAGAAAAATTTAACAATCTTTTTTGTGGACTCGTTGCACTCTGCATATCCACACTTCTCGTCCAGAAAAATAAGTGTTTTCAATATTTGAGATTTTACTACTTTATCCGTTGATCATTTAAGATAACTATGAACAGTCAGATGTTACAAAGACTTCGTTCTTGCAAAAAATTATACGTAAGTTAAATGCAATTGTAATGATCCATGTTTGAAAGTTCAGGTCGTTTAGTTTCTTGTACAAGGTCAAATTGAGATGTTCTGTTTACTAATTAAAATGCACGTATGAATTTAATATTGTAAAATGCAGAGTAAATAAGCAAAAAAGGAATATTTCTGAAATTCTATGCCAGTTATCTGCGGAATAATCCTTCGTAAAAATAAGTTTGCTTGCATTTCTTAGTAGATTGATCGTATAAAATACAATTAGTAAATGAATAATTTTTTGCGGATGATATATAAATAAGAATAAAGTAGTATTTTACTGTAAAATTAAGTGCATGAAAAACATTTAAAATTTCCACCTTTTTTTTTTTTGAAAATTTTTAATAGTATTGCATTAACTTTAGATTCTTACCACATTTAGTTTTAAGTGCTGTAGATTATAACCACTTCAAAGTGAGGTGTTTTCGATTTTGTTCAAATTAAGAAGGATTTCTATAGTAACACATGAGCCAAAATAATTTCCAAAGTTTGATAACATCTGAGCAATGGCCCTTGTAATTACAAGAAAAGAAAAAATACTGAAAGGAACAAATTAGTAGTGTTCCAGTTTTAAATCCCTCTGGCAAGCTCTTAGCAATTGTTCTTGGTATGAACAGGTACCTGTAGATTTTATACTATTTATCAGAGTTAAGTCTGCAAATGGAGATATTTCTGTATTGTGATCTTGCAATTCCATGGTTTTTAGGACATTAGTGGCACAAACTTAAAAAAAACAACTCAATAATTAAGAAAGTTTGTAATTTCTACTCTATATAAATTTTGTTTTTTAAATTTATAATTATTTTCTATCAAAAAATTTTTTTAATATGTTTTCTTAAGCTTTTAATATAAAATTTAAACATNTTTTTTTTTTTTTTAAATTTAAATTTTCTTGTCTAATGATTATAAATCTCAATACACAAACAAAAAGAATTAATTTTGAAATTTTAAGAAAATTAATGCTGTTGTTGAAGGTGTTCTCTCTGCAGCAATTTTCATTATTTTTTAAAAGTTTTTATTGTGATAAAATTAATTCTTTATAAAAGCATTTTTTATTTAATATTGAAAGGTACCTTAAATTTGAGCCATCGAAATCGTTTTGAGAAAACATCAGAAATTGTTTCGGACGGGACATTTTTGTCAAGTAGGGCTATCATTTTCTTTATAAATATATAAAATATTTCAGTTTGTTTGTATTTATTTTAACAAGAAGTAATGAACAAATTAAATTTGTGCTATGGAGTCATAAACCCAAAATTGGGTCCGATGTTCAACGAGGGTTACAAAATAATATAAAATCAGGGGTCCGTTTAGGAGAAATTTGGGTCCGTTAACGGACCCTTCACAAAATATCTTTTCATAAAAACGGACCCTTCACAAAATATTTTAACTTAAACAAATTTGAGTCGGGTACTGNTACAAAATAATATAAAATATTTTCCTCAGAAGAGGAAAATACTAAAGAACATATTTTTTTTATTGAAAATTTTGCCTCAAATCCACAATGTATTTACTTCAGTTTATAAGGATGATTCACTGAGTCTTATATTAACCAAAAATATTCATAACAATTTAAAATTTGTTGTTGGTAACTGTGTTGTAATTAGGATTAAAATATTTTTTAAGAAAATAGGTTTTATATTGCGCAAGTGTCAGCCATTGAAAATAATGCTGAAGTAGTGTTTTTAAAAGCATCTAATGATACAGGTGTTTTGTTTGTCTTTCCAGACAAACAAAAATTTTGTTAATCTGAAATTGCTAATTTTGATCAAGGCTAATTTTGTTGCTTTCAAACTGCTAAATTGTTACCTGAAACGTTTTTCGTTTCATGAAAATTCACTTTATTTCCTAAAAAAATTGGCAACTTTATGGATAAATAAAAATATGATTTGTAAATTTCGCATTTTCCTTTTTTATAGCAAACTAGCATTACCATCAAAAATAGTGACAATATTTCTCTAATTTTTAAAAATCATATTTATAATAACAATTTGACTACTTTTATACATTTATCGTACCAAGAAAAATCTGAAAAAGGGTTTTAAAATAATTTGGTTTTTAAATTGTTTTTGAAAATAATTAAACAAAGATCTTTATGTTTTTACCAACAACTTTTTACATGTTATGAGTCTCTTCCACAATGTGTTAACAAATTTTTAAAAATTGATTGTCAATTAAAATATATTGTGGAGTTTTCTGGTAACCATTTTTTTGTTTTTTTGTAATCTTCTATTAAATAATGCAAATTCTCTTTAAAAAAATATGCAAAGAGTATTCAACTAGTATAAGAGCAGAAATTCCATTTGAAATTATAAGTGTTTAAAAATACATAATTGAGCTGTCTCCTCCATAACAATATTTCTCTTATTTTTAAAAATGTAGAATTTCAAAGTGACTGCTTTTATATGTTGATCTTATTTAGAAAAATCTGGAAAAAATTTTAAAAATGAATTTTATTTTTAACTTTTTATTTTAAAATAATAAATTAAAGCTCAAAATGTCTTCTTTATTGGGTTCAAAATGACANCAAAAATTTTGTTACTCTGAAATTGCTAATTTTGATCAAAGCTAATTTTGTTGCTTTCAAACTGCTAAATTGTTACCTGAAACGTTTTTCGATCCATGAAAATTCACTTTATTATTTCCTAAAAAAATTGGCAACTTTATGGATAAATAAAAATATTATTTGTAAATTTCGCATTTTTCATTTCATTTTATAGAAAGGATTCTAAGTCCCCTCTGTGCAATGTGTTAACAAATTTTAAATTTAAGTCCTGAATTGAAATATTTTCTTTTATAGCGAACATAAACATTACCGAACATAGCATTACCATCAAAAATAGTGACAATATTTCTTCTCTAATTTTTAAAAATCATATTTATGATAAAAATTTGACTACTTTTATACATTTATCTTACCAAGAAAAATCTGAAAAAATGTTTTAAAATAATTTGGTTTTTAAATTGTTTTTGAAAACAATTAAACAAAGATCTTTATGTTTTTACCAACAACTTTTTGCATGTTATGAGTCTCTTCCACAATGTGTTAACAAATTTTTAAAAATTGACTGTCAATTAAAATATATTGTGGAGTTTTCTGGTAACCATTTTTTTGTATTTTTGTAATCTTCTATTAAATAATGCAAATTCTCTTTAAAAAAAATATGCAAAGAGTATTCAACTAGTATAAGAGCAGAAATTCCATTTGAAATTATAAGTGTTTAAAAATACATAATTGAGCTGTCTCCTCCATAACAATATTTCTCTTATTTTTAAAAATGTAGAATTTCAAAGTGACTGCTTTTATATGTTGATCTTATTTAGAAAAATCTGGAAAAAATTTTAAAAATGAATTTTATTTTTAACTTTTTATTTTAAAATAATAAATTAAAGCTCAAAATGTCTTCTTTATTGGGTTCAAAATGACAAGGTTACGGAGTTGAACATTGCTAGCCGTATAAACTGAAAATTCGGTCAGCTGTTTATTGGCGGTTATAAAATAAAATATAAAATACTTGATCTAGAAGTTCTCTTGTCTTCTGGATTGGGTTCAAATTTACAATACTACATAATTTAACGTTAGTAGTGTTAACCCAAAATATTGAGTTGGGGAGAAAAAAAATTTATAGACACTAAAAAGCCATGTAAAACAGGTTTTTTCCAAGACTAAAAAACATGGTAAAAACCAACCCTGTCTTTTAGACATCGTTTGATCTCTAAACATGTTCTTGTTATTCTTGCTCACATCGAAAAGTGTATTTCTAAAGGTTTTATTGTGACTTTTTCTTTTTAGCAATGCTCAAAATTTAGATCTGCCCATCAATTAAAAAGTGATGTAGAAGTGGATATCTTGCCTAAACAAGAGGCAAAGGTAAGAAAAGATCTTTTTTAATTGTCTTCTAGATAATGTCGTAGATAGTTTGCTGATAACACATCAGCTCAGAGGAAAAAGAAACACGCATGCACGTGAAACGGGGACTATGTTAATTAACAGTGGATCGCGAGTGTCAGGAAGGTGTTATGCAATTTGAATAAAATTTTGAACCTTGTAGCTAAATATCACCTTGTTTTAAAAATTAAATTTTTTCATTAATATGTATTTTTATAGTGCAACTGTCATGCATAATCATACGTAATCGTCATGCACACCAAAATACAGGGATCTTTTTTTATTTCACAATAAAAAAATTTTCATGTACTTATTTACACTTTTTACATTGCTATGGAGGAACTATCTGAGTGTGTGAGGTATATTTTTCAATCTAATTTTTTTATGCTGAAATGATAGAGATGTAACAGGAACTGATAGGATAATTATTAAAAAAAGTTAGGAGGATTTTGTGTACAAAAAGTATTATTTTATACCTTCACTCTTATAGACTTCTCATGTTGCTATACAGACAAGTGAGGTATTGTTTCCTTTGTATTTTTTCTCTCGCTTAATCGAATGAAAACAAGCACAAATCTAAAAGACTGATATTTTAAAAGTCGCAATTTTTTTTCCTCCATAAAGTGTACCATTTTTTGAATTGTACTTATTATGAAGAAATTCCTTAACATTTCAAAACTCTTTTCTCCTGTTGTCTTGAACTTTAGCTCATTTAATTCAGCATAAAGAAAATTACATCAGAGTTGCAATATTTAAGTAGCAGTTTTTGGTGATAACTGGCTAGTTTGCAGTAATTAATTAAAACTTTTTAAACATTTTAATCGGAAATATTATTTGTTTTTATTATATTATTCTTTTAAATAATGTTAAGTATTATTAATAGCCGGCCTAGTAGTCGAGCGGACAACTTGCCTGACTGTGATGTAAATGAATGCAGGTAGAGATCTTGCTCAGAGCATGGAGTTTTCTCTATAATTGTTGTCCTTTGTTATGTGATGTATGAATGTGGCACACTCTATGAACGAGGAAAATGTATAATGTCACTCGCCTCCATCACATATGTTAACTTGTGCCCATTGGGTAATGTTAAATGATCAAGAGTTCCGACATATTCCGAGACATAAAGGAAGAAGTTCAGTGCCTAACTTTAGCAAAAAAAAAATGAAATTAATATTTTTTATAATATAATTTTACAGCTAAATATTAGAGATTGAAATATGATTTAAGTAAAAAAATCTGATGTAAATTAAATAAATCCAATTATTTTGATTTGAAGAAAAAAAAAGTCAAAATTGTCGCCTACTCTAGGTATACTTATTATGACAAGATTTTATTCCTTCATTTGAAATACAGTTCGTGTTCTAACTTATTTGAAAAAAGCTAGGTAACTCTAACTACAAAACGAAAAAGTAATTTTTAGAAATTTTTCAACATTACAAAGGATTGAAATGAAATTCTAGAAAGAATTCTTTACTTTACAACTAGTGACACTAAAAAGGTTCAAAATCGATACGACGGGAGTGCTTGTTACTCTTTTTTTTCCTAATCAAGCCTTTTTTTGTTTAAAGTGTACAGAAGAACCAGCATTGTCAACTTTTAATTTATGATGAAAAACATAATTTTGTTTTCAGTTTTATTTATCTGTAAAGATAAAGAATAATTTTAAATCCTTGGTTTGAACTTGAAGTCAATTAGTGATGATTAGTTTGAATTATGAGTTTGCCGACTTTCAAAATGTCTGTGAGAAAAGCCTTTTTAAAGTTTTCTTTGTTCTAAGTTTTGAGTGTGTTAATTTAATATATTGAGGGTCTTTTTAAGCAGATGAAAAATGCAAAATCCTACTATCATTTAAATTTAAATCACTTCAGTTGTTGTGATTTGTATAATTCTATTTAATTTGTAGGTTTCTCAAATTGGTAATGGCATTAAAGTTGCATCGATTGAAGACAATAGTCCTATTTCACAAATAACTGTCGTTATCAAGGCCGGATCAAGATACGAGACTTCCAGTAATCAAGGAGTTACCCATGTTCTAAGGAATGCTGCTGTTTTTGTATGTTTCAGTTTCTTTTGTTATTTATTTGCTAAACTAAATAGTGCCAGTAATGGTTGTTAAAAGAGTATTGACCAATATTTAGTTATCGTTTTTTTTCTTTCCCTTTATAAATTCCCTATGCTATTTTTAGTTTAAAAAGATCAACTATCATGGAGAAAAAAATTGTTCTATAAATGTTTAACAAAAAATTAAATGAACTGCATTCCTTTATTCTTTTCATGCATACCTTTTTTTTTTCCTAATGATTTTAGTTTGAATTTGAAATTGTGAAAAATAGACTTAAATAATATACAAGAACTCACGGGAAATTTTTTTACTATTACTAAAAAGGAAAAATCTGCATTTTCAAAATTTTTTTTCTTCAAATTCCCAAGAAAAAGAGACTTATTTTTACTCTTTTTTCCCAACCAATCCAAACACAGTTTAAATTACATTTTACATGATCACACATTGCAATTCTTATTTGCGTGATTTAAGATCTTGCATTGTGTTTCATATTTTCAGGATTTCATACTATTGCATTTTGTATTTGTGCAATTTAAAAGCCACTATTATGATTTGTTTTATTGTGAGTTAAAAATTATATTTAGGAATTCACACAATTTTAAAATGAAACATCAATATTCGTATGAAAGCGATTTTAAATTGCATTTTGCATTATCACACATTGCAATTCTTATTTGCGTGAGTTAAGATCTCGCATTGTGTTTCATATTTTCAGGATTTCATAATATTGCATTTTGTATTTGTGCAATTTAAAAGCCACTATTATGATTTGTTTTATTGTGAGTTAAAAATTATATTTAGGAATTCACACAATTTTAAAATGAAACATCAATATTGGTATTAAAGCGATTTTGAAATTAAACATATTCATGTTAAAGCGATTTAAAAACCAACCATCGAGATTTGTCTTCACGAGATTTTAAAATTAGATGTCAAGATTTATAAAGAATCGACCATTGGGATTCATACTTGCACAGTTTAAATAAGTAAATGAAATCTCGCATCAATATGTCTATTAAAATGTTGATAGCATTTTGTGGATTAAGATTTTTTGACATACTTTCTTGTTCTCAAATTTCAGGCATTTTTTCAATTATTTAAAAAGTGTTTTTGCATATAGCATTTTTAGATATCTATTTTCAGTTTTTTTTTTTTCATTTTTTCAAACTCATCCCAGTGGTATTAATCAGTATAAAGTTCTAAAAGAATGAAACTTTAAAAAAAAATCTGTGATTTTCCAATGAATTTCCCTAAAATAAGGTAGCAATGAAAGGGTTGAAACTAGTTACAAGAATTTATCAATGCATGCAGAATGTTTTTTAATTGAGATTTTGTGTTCGCAAAAAGTTTTGCATTTTATTTAAGTCTGCTGAAAAATTTATAGAAGTTATAGAACAGTCACATTGCCTAATTTTTATAATGGCTATTAATAATTTTTCTTCACTGTTATTTTCTTTTTCCGTGCTATTAAGCAAAAAATACTTATTTACATATGAAAATGACTGATCTTTTTTTTTCAAGCACTGTATTATATTTTCATTAAATAATCTGTCACTTTTTTCAGTTTTGAAAATTTGCTTTTTAAATTCTGATAGTTTTACATCATGAATACATGCAAGAGCTAAAGTAAAACCTGACAGAATGATTAGATTTTGACAATTTTACTCAAGTACTGCTCCATTCTCTACAAGGAGAATAATAATATCAAACAAGATTAGATTAACCTTAGATTAACATATATAACATTCTTGTTTTTATGATTAGAGCAGTGCATTAATTTCAAAAATATCTGTTGTGACGTTTTAGAGCTACACCATTGTTCATATTTATTAAATTGTATTAATCCATTAATAAACACTTTAATTATTTTTTTTTTCAATTTTCAGTCCACAAGGAATCATACTGCCTTTTCTCTTGTTCGTAACTTAGAAGCTCGTGGGGCAAAATTAAGGTACATATATTATACTTTTTATTTCATTAAAAATAAACTAAAATCATTTGCAAGAAGCCCTAGAATAATTTTTAAATAACAATTAATATGAAGTGATTGTGTTTATATGTGGAAATGTAAAAGGCAGGGTGTGTAGCGTTTTTAAATAGTGCTTATTTTTGATTTGCATTTTTTAAAAGTACTTAGAGCTTTTTTTTATTCGTGGTTTGTAAAAAGTGCTTAATTTTCTGCATTTTAAACAAGAGATTTACAAAAAATGCATGATTTTCTTTGCAATATTTATAAGAAACTAGTTATATTATGATAATGTAAAGTTTTTAAAAATGTTCTTGAATTTTATTGATTTTATGTTTGTAAATAAAGAACTTTAAATGATAGCAAAAAATAATTTTTATAACTGCGCAGATCTTAATTATGATTTTTTTTGGAAAGTGATTAAAAATATTTTTTGAGTGCTTGAAAGGTGCTCATTTTTTGTTGAAAAATCTGACTATATAAGATATTAAAGAATTGGCTACATGAGATATTAAAGAATTGGCTATAATGGAAGTCTGCATAGATATATACATTCTGTGAACATATTTTGTAATGATAACAAAATATGAACATAATTTGTAATGATAAGTGAAAATTTGAATCTATCAACTTTTTTATCTGTATATTTTAAGTAGGATGAGTGCATTATATATTTTTTCTTGACTTAACTTTTTTTAACAGCACTTGTTGAGTCAATAGCACTTGGCTTTCTAAAACATTAAAAAATAAAAAAATTGCTAACATAATTGAAAATATCAGAGATGATTGTGGAAAATATCAGAGATGATCCAGATTTCCGGATTCTTTGCTAACTGTGATCCAGAAATCCGAAGTCTAGAAGTTTCAAGAAATTATCGATCACATTTATGTCTAAGAATTCTTGTATATTTTATTTAGAAATGTTAGAACTAGAATTTATACTTGGCATCTCTTTCATTTGTAAATATTTTTTCTGGTAGAATGTGATTAGAGATAAAAGTAAACTTGTACATTATTCTTAATTTAAATTATGCTGCATATAATTTATTTAGAATTTTAGGTTGTAAAAATATCAATGATTTAAAATTATAAAGACGTTGATTTTTTGAAATGCATTATTAAAGATTTTACTCAAGAAGTTTTCAGGATTTTTGAGCTGGGCTCACAATTACCCCTGAATTATGCAAGTAACTAAACGTGAAAGTTATTCCCTCCTTCTAGTAACAACCAATGCTATGTTATTTGAGCTATATTTTTACAATATTTCAGTAATTCATAGCTGCAGTTTTATAAAAAGTTTCACCAAAGTATTTTCTATGTTTGCTTGACTAATGTTATGTATTCTTTTTCTGCTTTCTAGCGTTGTTGGGACTCGAGATCATTTGTTCTATACTCTAAAGTGTCCAAGAGATGAAGTGTAAGCATATTTAAATTAATTTATTTATTGGTTTAAAATTTCACGCATTAAAATTCAGAAAATATTGATGTTTGGTTATATTGCATCTAGTTGAATTGTTAGTGTTAATGTAAAATGATTGTCATTCATATAAATTTAATATGTAGATGCAAATATTAATTAAGACAGTTGTAGTTTTCCCAATTTTGTTGTATGACATTGAAGAAGGTGTTACAAATTATTAAAAAGTAAATAAAAAAAAATTTCTTTCTAAGAGTTTAAACTGTAAGTAACTTTTTTTTATTGTTAGAAACAGGAAAATAAACTTCTTGTATTTGAAATACTTACAATTTTTCATTTTGTTCAATACTTTGTTGTTTATTATTTCAGGATTGTTTAAGTAGATATTTTAAACCTAAAATTCTTCAGTTCTGAAGTCCTAATGTCTGACTTATCAGTGATATAAATAAAAAACTTATCCAAAATTTGGAATTAATAATCGTAACAAAATTAAAAAAATGTTTTAGGCTGTTTATTTTTATGACTGAAATTCAGAAGACAAAAAATTCATGGTATCAATTTTAATAAATTAAGTGGAAATTTTATGGGATTCTGAATAATCTTTTACTAGAAGCCTAGCTGAGCTTAGCATTGGCTCTGTTTATAAGTAAACAAAATCTAGATTTTATATGTTATGAGCCATATACATTCATTATATTACTCTCATTACATCACTCATACTCATATGCACTCATTATACACTATTAACTCATTATGTCTACGCAAAAATATCTTTAACTAGAAATACTAACTTTATATTCAGCATCGAATGATTATGTTGAATAAAATGTACTATTCATTTGTGTACTATTTAATTTTAAATATTAAAATATATTCCTAGTATTATTAGCATATTTCCTTGATTTCTGACTGGAAAAAGTTTTCTTCATGAATTTAGAAAGATATTAAAATACTGCCTTATTCACATCTCTCTGAATTAGATATGTTTTCACAGTTTCAAAGACAGCTAGTGGATTTCTGCATCAAAATCACTAATCATTGGTTCTGATAAATTGATGATTTAAATTACTTCAGTTGCACCGATAGGCACTCCATCATCATAGGTGACGTAATCCTTTAAGTTTACCCTAGGAACAGCTTTTTTCAACGTGACTTCTTCTGGGTGAAATAGAAAGATTACTTTTTAATCAATTTTCAATTTGTTTATAGGGAAGTCTTGCTTTTGAAAAGCATTTTTCAATTATGTTTCAAAAACTCATTTAAAAAAGTTGTATCATAAAATATAAAGCATCCAAATCATTGGCTTTTATCTCTTCTAATCTGAAACAACAACCAAAAAATAATTTGTTAATTTAGCGTATATTATTCATTAAACTGGGTTTAAAAAAAATATAAGATTTTTTTTTTTTAATTTTTAGAAATAGGTAAATAGACATATTTTAAATCAAAATCTGACCTTTACTGTATTTTTCTGCTTAATTTTTAATTTTTTCAGAAATTTTAAGTAAAGTGGGTATATAGTTTGACTTTGCGAAGTGTTGTATGGTAGGAATATTTTTTTTTACTTCTGTGTTAGTTTTAGTTAGTATCTAATGCTTGATATTTTATATAGAATAGCTAAAAGCAATTTACTTGTTTATTATAGCTCTACATGGTAATTTTAACTCTGAAAACAATTTTTTTTTAAATTTTAGTTTTTAATATTTTTTAAGAAGAATGATTGGAGGAATAACAATGTAACACAAACATTATATAATTGAAAAAATTGTCCAAATAGTATAATGGTGCAATTTAATTGGCATATTTAAAGATATGGATGAGATTTCATAAAATCTTCTGCTATCATAGGGCAGTTTTTTCATGTAAAACAAAGCAATTTCCTTAAAGTAACTAAACCCAATAAATAGTAACAACACTCTTTACTCTTACTATAGAGTATAATTTTTAAACTCTTATTTATATTTCGAATAAACCAGAAACTAGTATTACAGTTTTCTTTTTTGATGAAATTGCGCTGAGTTCAGCAAAAAATACTCTGTCCGAAGTGAAACCTAATTTTGATACTCTTGCAACATAAACTCTTTAATAAAACAAAAGCAAAATTTTTTTATGAAAATATAATAATAATACATTTATTTAAGAGCGTTTTTATTTCTGAAACACTTAATTATGTTTTTTAATGAAATATATACAAATTTTAGAACTATACCCAGGAGTAAAGTGGGTATATCAAAATACAGTCAGACTTCTGTTCAATGAACTTCCATTTTGTGAATTATTTTTTCTCCAGGAACCGCGAACATTTTGGAAATTATTTCGTAAAATAACTTCCAGGTAGCAAAGTGAATTTTCCATTTAACGAACTATTCTTTAAGATCCACTGTTAACGCATTCAACATTTATATTCCCAAAATATTTCAGAACATTCCAAACTTGTTAACGCATCTTATAGGGAAAATGACCTTGAATTGATTTTCGCAGCCACTCAATTTTCAGAGAAAGCTTTGAAATCCTTTCCCCATTTTTTTTTTGCATTCCATACCTTAATCCATGCCAAAAATCAATTTATGAGAAAACATGACAGAAGTTTCTTAAGCATGGAACTATGGTGTTACAGATCGTGGTATTTATAACAGTTCTGGTAAAGCTGCTCAGTCAGCAAGGAAAGTGCGGAGAAAGAGGATGATATTTCTTTAGAGGAACTTTAAAAAATATGGGTTTAGCTGAGAGAGAACCACGGAATTAATGATGTACTGATTATTAATTTTCTTTTCATTGATTCTGAAGCTGCATTCATACAAACATAAATTGAATCGGATATTTTAGACAGTGTGAAAAATAAAAACCATGCAGTAGTAAATTGTGAGGAAGAAGATGAAGACTGAAATGATGAAGAAATCACCAAACCTTCATATGATAAAATGCTAAAATCATTTGAAGCAGTTCGATACTAGATAATAATTTACAAGATAAAGGTATATCAATTGATATTTTAATTATGTTAATTATGTTTTGGTTTTAAAACCTTTAAAAAATACAAAAACAAAAAAAAAAAACTTTACCCCATTTGACATTACTAATGCAAAATTGTTATTAATCTCAGGGATGCTGGTCTTGGAGTTTTATCTGAAGTGACTAACCAACAAGTGTTTAAACCTTGGGAAGTTGATGATAATTCTTCTAAGTTAGAAGTTGATTTAGCTATGCTGAACAACAACCCCTCTGCTGTTCTGAATGAAATGCTTCACAGGGCTGCTTTCCGTGGTGGATTGAGCAATGGTATTTACTCCCCCTCTTGGATGATTGGAAAACACAACAGTGAAATGNACTTCGTTAAATAGAGGTTCGGCTGTATGTGCTTTGGAATGCATTATTGTAAGAAAACAATCAAACAAAAATAGATAAGTTATTTATTCAATCTATATTATTCCAATGTATATAAAATGCATCAAATTTTTTTGTAAAATGAATTTAATGTTTTGGTTTTAAAACCTTTAAAAAATACAAAAAAAAACAAAAAGAAACTTTACTCCATTTGACATTACTAATGTAAAATTGTTATTAATCTCAGGGATGCTGGTCTTGGAGTTTTATCTGAAGTGACTAACCAACAAGTGTTTAAACCTTGGGAAGTTGATGATAATTCCTCTAAGTTAGAAGTTGATTTAGCTATGTTGAACAACAACCCCTCCGCTGTTCTGAATGAAATGCTTCACAGGGCTGCTTTCCGTGGTGGATTGAGCAATGGTATTTACTCCCCCTCTTGGATGATTGGAAAACACAACAGTGAAATGGTAAGTATTTTTTTTTTCTTCTATCCTGCAGATTTTTTAATTGTTCTAAATTTCCTGAATTAAGGGGGGAAGAATATCGCATATTTAACATACCCCATTAACATGTTGACTGCCACACATGTTTATTGTGAAATCTCCTTCAGGCCACAAGTGAGTGTGGTCTCTCCTGTGTTTCTATTAGCAGTCAAGTGTGCGGAGGATCCCGTTGTGTGTAAATGAGACTGAAAAACAACAGCGCGAGAAAGACGAGAGCACACTCACAAATAGCAAGACAAGCGTTCAATGTGGCCCGTCTGCCGAATTGAGCGTTACATTCGATGTTGGCTAGTTCACTTCTTAGCACTTATTTGGCAAATCACCAACTGTGGCGTTTGGATATAGAGAGTGTAGTAATCGACAAAGCCAACCTTCTTCTATCGAAAGGTACCTCAAGATTGAATAGAGTTTGCATGTCTTATATACTGAAGAATTGATGTTTAATAAACATAGTGGTAGTTATGCAGGGTGGCCACCCACCTTGAAAACCTGGAATTATCAGGGAATTTTTTTTATACTGGAAAAAACCTGGAAAAATCAGGAAATTTTGAAGAAATGCTGGAAATTTTTTTAATTTCACTAATTTAAATTATTTACTAATTTTCTTAATTTAAATTATTCCATCCATTATACCCACTTTTTTTTAGACTCAAATGTATCTCCTAGCAGTTTAAATATCATCAACTTAGCAATACTTTGCTTGCATCAAAATTTGCTCCATTACAGCTCTGTTAAACTAGAATGTCACATAAAATTCTCCCACTGTTGCTAAACGAATGTGGAAACCTTTGACCGCTATGGACTGTGCAATTTAGGAAAGATTGTCGTGGAGGTGGAAGAAGGGATTAGGATATTACCTTCTGTTTTTAAATTCTGTCCTTGGGCAGAATCCATTTATGACTTAAGTTTGTTCCAGTGATTTCGTGGTTTTTTTTTTTCCATTTTGACAAAATGTTTTTGTATTTTTAAATTCATAAAATTCTCCAAAAATTAGTTGGTTATAATTTAATAATAATAGATTTTATATTGCACTCTTTTTCTGAGAGCTTTTGTATTCCCATTAAAAGAAATTTGTGAATTATTTTTTCTCTGCAAACCAACCAATCACATTTTTTTTTACAATCGCTAACAGCAATGTTTATCGACAAATTGTTACAATTGTTGCATTAATGTTAATTTTTTCTATTTCATTTTAACCTTTTATAACATATTTTAATTTAAAAAGAAGGTTTTTTTAAGAACTAACTAGATACTAATATTTAATTTTACTCTTTTGTTGGTCAATATATGGTTTTTGATTCAAAATTTTGTACCAAACCATTAAAAAATGAATAAAAAACCTTGCCAAATTGTCAAAATAAATTTTTTTTTTTCAAGATATGTTAAAAAAAGAACATTTTGAATAAAATATTTTATATTATAGACACTTTTCTTCCCTACACTTTATTAGAATAAAGAAACTAAAACCTGGAAATTTTAAGATTTTTATCTGGAAAACCTGGAAAAATCAGGGAAATTTGAAATCTGATTTAAGTGGCCACCCTGTTATGCCACAAGATGCTGGCAAACACATTGTACAGGACTCTAAAAATCAAGACTTTAAAACTGTCTCGATCTGTATAAACTTCGTTTCTTAAAATTTTCTTATCCTCCTGAAAAACTATTGTATACAGTTGTAGAAATATTAAAGTAACATATAATTTCTTTATTGGTTTTGAGGGAATATTATTCACTTTTTATAAATTTATATTCTCTTAAATTTGTAATTGAAGCTGTTTAAAAATAATTCATTGAACAGAGTTTTGTTGATTGTAATAGATAATTGCTGATATTAATGTTTGTTTTAATTTTCTCATTTTAGCTGCATAATTATGTCCGTGACAACTTTACAACGTCAAGAACTTCTGTAGTTGCACTTGGTCTGCCCCATGATTATTTGCAAGACTGTGTCAATGAATTATTTACTATGAGTGATAGGTCTGCCAGCAATTCAGGAACTTCAAAGTTTGCTCCAGGTATTACTTTAGTTTATAACATGTTGTATTTTACTACCACTAATGAATCTGACTCGACTGAATTGTTTTCTTATATTGGTTATACGGTAAATGTCTTATAATCCAGAATTCTATGTAGTGGAAAGCTCAAGTTGACAGAAATTTTGGAACTTTATTTTTAAAAAAATCAATTTTATCATCTTTTTAGTTTAAGATAGAATTTGATCTATCAAAAAGTAATTACTTATTACTCAGAAGGTTTTTGTATAGTAGTAATATTGTATTATGAATATCAACATTTTTAAAAACTTTGTAGAGATCTTTAGCAATAGCTTCTAAAAAATTATCGAAGAAGGTATATAACTCTAAAATGGAATCAAGCTACCCCCCCCCCTCCAATAGAAGTAATGCTAATGTACAGTATTAGTTACACTTGGTAAAATATGTTTCCAGAGAATCATATTTAAAAGATCAGAATTTTAAAAACATACGGTAATCTGCTGCAATAACTGTTGAAAAATACGTTCATGGTTTATCAAATATGATTATGAAACATCAGCAAATTCAAACAACATTATTTCTCATTGAAACTCATAAAATTTTTCTAATAATTAAATTAATTAATATTAGTGATAAGTTTTGTTATAATTATCTAATTAAAGTGGTTGTTTTTTGTTGAAAGCTTTGACTACGCACACTGATTCAATTTGTTTTTTTGAGTATCCAGGTGAGCCTAAATTCATATCATTCCCTCACTCATAGTGTGTTTAAATGTTTCAGATAAATTGCATTATTATTTAAATATGATTGAGTATTTATTGATATGTATGAGAAATCACATGACCTAAACATTTCAAAAGTTTTAAAATAATTCTCTAAGTATTTCTTGAGAAATGAGTTTTGAAAAAATAAGTTAGTATGAAAGTTTTTTTTAAATATTTTGTCCAACCCCTTTGTTATGTTTATTTAAATAAAATTATCTTTTCAAAACTTAATAAATATGTAGTTTGTTATATCAGGAATAATTTATTATTTTTTAATGTTTCCTGCTTTTTCCTCATTTGAAATCTACCTGACGAATCGGATCATTGTCTTAACAAATGCAATAAGTTGCTAAACTTTAATAAGTACTATGATTTTATTGATCCAGTGATGAGTTTGCTATAATTATCAAATAAGTAAATTAATTAATATTAGTGATAAGTTTTGTTATAATTATCTAATTAAAGTGGTTGTTTTTTGTTGAAAGCTTTGGCTACACACACTGATTCAAATTGTTTTTTGAGTATCTAGGCGAACCTAAATTAGGAAAACCTATATTTATATATATATGTATTTTTTTTGAAATATTAATTAAATTATTTCTGATTCCTGTGGAAACTTCTGTATATAATATTTATAAAATTTATAATTTGATTTTTTAGGAGAAAAAAGGCAAGAAGCTGATTTGCCACAAACTCATGTTGCAATAGCTGCTGAAGGATCTGGCTTAAGTAATTATAAAGATGTGCTAAGTTTGGAAATACTTTCATTGATTTTAGGTTTCCATTCAGATATTCCAAAATTTACGAAGCTTGGTCTTGTAGCAGCAAAAAATACTAATAATCCTGTTCATGTAAGTGTCAGATTTCCTGCCAGTTTTTTATGAGTCGTAACTTTCTTATATTTTGGTATCATTGGCATTTGATGAAATGCAACATCATATCAGAGTGGGGCAAAATAAAATTGATTACAGGCATTGAAATACTTGTAATAAAAATAAGTCATGATCGTAATTGATCATCAATCATAAACTCCATTAAGTAATGATTGTTATACTTACAGGTAGTGATAGTTACAAGTTTTAAAATAATTATAATAATTAATAAATAATATTATATAATTAAATAATTAACCAGGTTATTAAATAATTAACCAGGGCATAATTTTAATTATCAATATCGATATCAGGGCTGAATTTTGTTGGCTAGCAAGCAGCAGAGTGATAGTTAAAAAATTTGGTAGCAAACGGTAGTGAAAAATTATTTTAATTTGCCAGATTAATTAAAATTCTGTCAAAAGTCTGGTTACCGAAATTTTTATGCTTGAAGTTGTATTTTGTGTGTTATTCCTTTTTGTTTTTAAATTGAAATGAATTTAAGAACATCCCTCAAGCGATAAATTGTATATAGATTTTTTTTCTACACTTAGGTTAGCAGTTTGAACATAAATTATGCTGATACTGGTCTTTTTGGAGTCCATATTGTGGGAGCACCAAGTGATATGAATGTTGTTGTAAAGGCTGTTGTGTCTGAAATGAAACAAGTTGCAAAAGCCATTTCACCCGAAGCTCTTGAAATTGCTAAGTATATGAAGAATTTAATTTTTAAAGGCTTTTTTCAAATTTATGTTTGCAATCAATGAAAGTAATCGGTTAATATTAATAATTGCCAGTTTTTATGAATAATAATCAGCAGATTTTTGTTATTTCCAATCATTCTTTTGTGGAAAAAAATATTAATTTTTTTAGATCTATTTTTTATTAACTTCCAAAATATTACTTGAGATTTCCGGTTATTTGAGTTTTTCTGTGTATCAGGGCTGATTGTGCTCAGGAAAAAATCCGTATTTCCGGAATTTTTGCTAACAGTGATCCGAAAGCTTCCGGAGATCGAAGGTCCAGACGTTTAAAAAAAAATCATTGATCATAGAAGTTTCCGGAAATCAAATTTTCAAATGTGGAACTTAAAAACACAGTTTATTTTATTTGTTTGTAAGGGAAAGCCAGATACTTTATAAGCTTACATTCATGATTAATATTTATTTTTTTTTATCAGTAAACAGTTGTTATAATCATAAACTCAAGAAAGAAAGACATATTTGTAAATTTTAATTACTTCTCCAGGTCATTATAGGTATGTGTAAATGGTATAGGTATGCGTAAAATTTTAAATATATTTTAAGCTAACTAAGAAATACTGAGGAAAAGGAAAAAAATCTTGTTTAAATTTTTTTCTAATTTTTCAATTGAAACTTTTTTTCTTTTTGAACTCAAGAAATTTTTCCGGAACTTTGACTTGGGCTCACAATCACCCCTGGTGTGTATAAATGCAGTTGTAATAAAGTTATTGTATTATATTATATAGTGTTAAAATTTGTAAACATGATTTTAAGATTTAAAATTTTTTTATTGGCTCATATTTAAAATTTTATACAGTCCCTGGTCAAATTATTAGACGCACTATAAGATTATATGTCAAATCTTAATTATTGAGTGATACTATACAACTGTATTGTTTTTACGCTACTGAAACTGGTTTGTACTTGTTTACGTTTCTGTATGAATTTTTGAAATTAGACGATCTATCATATAAATTTGGTGATTGAATAAATTCGAGGATATATTATATAAATATAGAATATTTATTATATCAGGTATTATATTAGTATAATATAATAATTAGACCAAATTATAAGACGCACTGTAGTGTTTTAATAATGACATGTTTTGCACGAGTTTGTAACAATAATTATATATTTAAACATCTATGTAAAGGGTTTTTATTCAGGAGATTATTTATATGCTGCCTATTTGTAAAAAGTGCTTAATTTTCCATCTTTTAAAAAGCGATTGTTTTTTCCTTCACAGTGCCGATTGTCGTTCTAAGTTAAATGTGTGATTTTCACAATTTTCTGTGCAATATTTATCAGAAACTTGTTAATCATGATTATGTTTTTGAAATTTATTAATTTTATGTTTATAAATTAAAAACTTTAAATGATAGAAAAAAAATAATTTTTATTACTGCACAAATCCTAATTATGTTTTTTTTTTTGAAAGTGGTTAAAAATATTTTTTGAGTGCTTAAAAATATTTAAAAGGTGCTTATTTTTTGTTGAAAAATCTGGCTACACACCCTGGTTTTGATAAGTTCATATGACGCAAACATTATTATTACTGTAAACTGAGTTTTAACATCCTTATGACTGATTCTAGGCATAAATTAAAAGCAAAACTGCTGATTGACAGAGAAGTATCGAGTAATGCTCTCACCTGCATGGCTATTGAGACATCTGAATACGGTCAAATAAAGAATGTGGATGAAATTCTGAAATCAATAGATGCCCTTAAAGTTTCTGATGTACAAGCAGTAAGAACATTATCTCTTTTATATTTATTAGTTTGTGAATTCCTTCTTTTGCATGATTCTTCTAATCACTTCACACACTACTAATGGGATAATTCCGTTTCAGATCGACCAATAAAACTTCAACGATTCGGATTTCAATTTTATCATTTTTATTAAACTAACTTCTTACATGAAAGATGTTAAGTTTCAAATGTTATGAACAAATTGTTTCTGAGTAATGCAATTTTGAAATTTAGCAAATTTTCTGCTGTTTTTAAACAACTATAATTTGACTAGAATGAATTAACTAGATAGCTGTTTTTTTTTTGTGTTAGTTCAATTTGTTCAGTTTTAAGTGGCATTTTATAAAATATATAACATAGATTTTTTTAAAAAAAATTTTATTCAAGCTTTTTATTATTGAAGATTTTAATTTTTCTTAAAATTTTTATGTTATACTTATTTTTAGCAAATTAAACATTTAAACAGGTAATATTCTTATGGTATCATAAAGAAAAGAAGAAAAAAATTGTCAAATAATGGCATAATTCATAAAATACTATGAATGTGCCACTTTCCCACCAAATTTATTCTTAAATTAGCACAAAATTTGTTTTTTCTACATGATGAATTAGAAAAAAAATATTCTTAATGATTCCATAGTATACCATTTTAAACAGTGCTCACACAGTGTCAAAAAACGTTAAATGAAAAAAAAATTATAAGAAATTTAAATTTTAAAAGATTTAATTTTTTTCAGAAAAAATATTTTTTGCCTTTTTACTTAGCATTGCTATGAAAAGCTGAAGAAAATGGTGCAAAATTTAGCTCTGTTGGTCAATTAATTCTTAAATTTTAGCTGTTTAAAAACTGCAAAAAAAAAATTTGTACTTTTTAAAAATTATAAAAGGCATTAGTCTGAAACAACTTGTGAGCGAAAAATAAACTTAAGTACTAAGTCCTGACATTTTGACCATTGGTTGACTAAAATAGATAAACTAAATTGATCTATTGGGGAATTGGTTGAAAAAATATATTTTCTAAAAATGTGTTTGCATTATGTTGAGACGAAATTATTTGGTTTTTAACTTCTACCTGATTATTTCTTGTTATCTATGCTCCTTGCATTTAATTTTACTAACAATTAACTTTCCATACATAGTTAAAATCGCTGATTGCATATAAGTGACTTGTATACTAAAGTAACTCATAAATCTAGCATAAAAAGGAATGAACTTTCAGTTTTAGATTGAATTTAGCAAAATGAAAAGTTTAAACTAGGTCATGATTTTCATAAACGAACTTACCTTTTTTGTGCTAGATTTAGGATTAACTTTTACTTTAAAGGAAAAATATATTTTTCTTCCGAAAAATTAGCGACATTTTGGCCTCAACTTTTGAGCAAAATGAGATTTTTTAGTACTTTGTATCATTTTAAATGATGTCAGCCTTTTTGAAATCGCACTTAATTGTCTTTTATTGGACAACAAAGCATAAGTTTAAGATGGTCGATATGCTTGAAATTTGGTGGCCCGATTTGAATTTGTATGCATTGACAACAGGAGAGCTTGAGTTATTTTTTTTAATATCAGTTGTTGTAAAATCTCTCAGTTATTAATCTGGTTGTGAATTAAAATTAATTTATTTCATTAGCTAAAAATCTAATCTGTTTTAATTAAAAATATATATATATTTTTGTAGCTCAACATTTTTGGAATTTACTTTTGCAAACTTTAAAATAAAATTTATGAAATCAACTGCTGTTATTAAGTGTCAAAACTATCACTCTCTCTGCATTTTCTTGGTGAACATTGTCTGCTTGCCATACATGTAAATTCTAGGCACAAATTGGTTTTGTAAATTATATTTTAATGTGAAATAAACTAACTGCTGTTATTAAGTGCCAAAACTATCACTTTCTTTGCCTTTTCTTGGCAAACATAGTATGCTTGCCATAAATGTAAATTCTAAGCACAAATTAGTTTATCACAGATTAAAATATAATTTATAAAACCAACTGCTGTTATTAAGTGCCAAAACTATTACTCTCTATGCTTTTTCTTGGCAAACATTGTATGCTTGTCATAAATGTAAATTCTAGGCACAAATTAAAACTAATTTGTGCCTAGAATTTACATTTATGACAAGCATACAATTCAGATTAAAATATAATTTATTCAGATTAAAATATAATTTAAAAAACCAATTGCTGTTATTAAGTGCCAAAACTATCACTTTCTGTGCTTTTTCTTGGAAAACATTGTATGCTTGCCATAAATGTAAATTCTAGGCACAAATTAGTTTATTTCAGATTTCACTATCCTTATTTATAAATGTGTTGTTATTTGTAATAGAATTCATTTAAAATTTTAGCAAAACAATTCAGGGGAAACAAAGTTATTGTGTAAACAAAACGTAAGGCAACAAAGAGTGCAGGAGAAGGAAAATACTCAAAAGGGAAAAAAATACTCAATTTATCAAAAAACGAAAGGAAAAAAAAAGACTTAGACTAAAATAATGGAGAAATAAGAAAAAAAATTCATTTGTCCTATAGTTCATACTTTAGAATAAATCTGGAATTTAACTTTTAATTAAAAAAAAAAAAAACATAGTTTTTATCTTTGTAATGTGTATATGTTTACATAAATATACATTATAGTAGGGGTGCTCAGCCTGCGGCCCGCGGGCCAAATGCGGCCCGCCAACCCTCGATGTGCGGCCCGCGGCCGCAATCTGAACAAAATGAAAAAAATTATAATAAAAAAAATTCGGTAATTTAAATTTACACTTTTAAGTTTTTCACGCACCCAATCTCAATCAATGTAGTTTTTCGATGGTTAACGGCTACGGATTCCAGCATAGTTTTAAAAATCCCAATATTTTTAATACATCATTATTACGATTTACGAATTTTAATTACCACTTTTGACGCTTTTCGTATGTGCCGATTCCAATGACTTTTCGGTAGTTATTGCTACCCATTTTCAAGTAGTTTCTGAAATAGCGATTTTTGAAAGTTATGAAACGCTTTATTTGTGCAAACTTCATGGAAAATCTAAATGACTTTAGATCCTTTCTTCAACAGTTATTGCTGCACATTTCCGCCCGGTTTTTAAAACTTCGATATTTTAGCACGATATTATTACGAATCGCGAGTAAAGAATCGCTCATTTAGATAACCATTTTTTGACATGGCTTATTTGTAACGATTTTATCGCAAATCAAATTATTTTGCAATCGTTACTTTAGAAATTATTGCTACACATTTCTACAAGGTTTTGAAAGTACCGATATTTTTTATACGCTATTGCGACATTTTAATTTCAAATCTCGCATTTAAATTACATAAAATTTTGATGGACTTTATTTACTCCAATTTCATCTAAAATAT